TTAGGTTATCGGATTGGACAACAGGTCTTCGTGATTATGGGGTTTACCACAACTCACGTTCATCACACCAAGGTGTGTAGTTAAAAATTGAGACATCCGAAAGCTTCAGTTTACTGTTATAAATTACGGAAATTCAATTCAGCTGCATCGAAAAGTGTTTTTACATATAACTTTATTTATCTGCTAAAGAATAATAGGTGGTTATGTAAATGGTGCATAATTGCTAGCTTGCACCTAGCACGACTATTTTTGTTTTGTCGGAACCAGCCTTTANTTAAAAGAAGCATTTCCTTTGGGTCAGAAGAGCTGATAATCTCCACGATACCATGTCGACGGGATGGTGTGACAGTCGTAGCAGAGCCAATTTATGGTGCAGTTTGCACATATTCCGAGTAGTTTTCCACAGTGGGTTAAAGCTGTGCATACTAATACGCACGCGTTTGGGTCCAGATTTTGTTAAACAACTCACGGCAAAACAATCTTAAGAAATATATGAATCAGTGTCTTTCTTGTGCTTGAAATCCTAGAAGGTTACCTAGGTCAAAGTGGGTATTTTTTCCTGAATAATTCACAGCCGGAGCCTTTGACTTACCCGGGTCTACTGTGGGAGGTGTATAAAATCCGCAATCCATTAGAGCCGGTGTCCAGTCCATCAGATCATACGCCCTTTGGAAGAAGTCCAAACTGCCCAGTGTACCTCGATGACTGATCAAGCCAGAGACCACTGCGAAGACTAAAACCAGCATTAAGGCAATCCAGAGTGCGCTGGCAGACAGCTTTGCTGTCGTTCTGCTCAGTATCATGCACCCATTATGTGCTAATGCGAGTTGCCATTCCAGGCCCAAGGGCTTAGATTGTCGGTCATCATGAGTGAGCAATAGGTCCTCGTGAGTATGGAGCCTCCCTCTTTTTCTTCTCATTGTCTAGTGGTCTGTGTTGCAAAAGCGTACTCAGTCACTACGCCTGTAAGTTGAATTTAAATCCTTTTATGTTCATTAATGAAACCGATTATTGGGTTAATTCCGTTTTCCTTTTGTTAATTCGTAATGGTTTTGGGGATAAATCAGTACCAATAACATAAACTCCGTACTTATACCTACTACATCCTTTTCACTCTAGAAGCCCTCATCTCATTCGATCACACTGTAATCTGGAGGTTTCTCTTTGAACAGATTATTTCTCTATTATTTTCCTTTTGTACTAAAAGCAGTAGCTGCTTTTGGTCTCAGGGCTTCTCGCCCGAGTTCACCACATTAAACGGTGCTAGTCAGCATTGCCCTCTCCTTCTTTCTTTCTTTCAATATTGCGCTGAATTTGAAATTGGTTTATTTTCATGCAAGGATAAGTATCTTTGTTTTTCTAATTTGGGTAATTTTTGGTACCGCATTCACATCCATCTGTCCGTGAGGTGTTCATTTCATGCTGCTTCAGTCCGGTCGACTTTACTGTATGCGGCAGAAACATAACTGTTACAAGGAAAACATAAGTGCGTATCAATTTTCAAACACCATTGTGTACACCGCATTGCACGAGTACGTTGAGACAGTCCGCCAAAGCATCCCATAATTGAGCGCCAAGAATTGGGTGATCGCAGTCGCTCACCAACTTATGTTCTTGACCGTCGTCGATTTCGATTTTTGGTGCATGTGTTGCATATATCACCGGATGGGCTTCGTGGGCAAGCGGTAATTGGAGAATCAAGGTTGATCAGTCTCATTACTTAGCATAAAGGCATAAATCCCTTGGTCAGGGCACTTCTTTATGTTAGTTGCTTCAGGCTTTTCGGGACCAGCCTAATCGATCGTTAGAACAATGAAGTGACATGACTGTCCTAGACGGTAGTGTTTGGGTATCTGCGCACATGTAATTTATTTGCATTCTGCTTCATGATCTTGGCACTGCTCTTTTTCTTACGCCATTCTTTATTGGTAGATAAAATGAGTTGCTGGAATTCAGAAACCGGAGCCAGAGCACAGTGTTACAAGTTAACGATTGCACTAGTATCTGAAAGCCGAAGTAAGATCGGGATGAGGTCTTTTCTTGCGACCAGGCATTTTTCCCTTGTCATTTGCGAAGTGCTCGTATACGGCTGACTATCTTAAATGGTCTTCATGCGGTGGTGTTTCTCCACCGAAGCGAGAGAACGAAAAGCCATCGAATCAGTGTACCACTGGGAGTTCGCCCGTCAGAATTCTCGGAAACTTTGTCTCTTAAACAATCACAGTTAAACCCTCCTGTTTCTGACAGTTGTCACTGGTCTGATTAGGCTCCTTGGACCTTTGATCTCTTCAATGGGCGTATGCTTCGATGAACTGGACATCGGCCCTATGGATTGCGTTTTTCACACACCATCCAGCTGCCTTGCGAATCAAGCTTGGACAAGTCAGAAGCTCCTGTCGTGAATTCCCCAAGAAAATTTACCCGCTTGGCCTTGACAACCTGCTAGGATTTCACCCACAAGCAAAGGACAAACCTATTTCTTTGTATTGAAGATTTTTGTACCATGACTTGTTTAGCACAATCCAAACGCAGACGTGAGATATGATGTATAATGTAATGACAGTACAAACCAAACTCAGTTGAAGGTTTTTGACTGAGGACTGATTACATAATCGCATATCCAAATCTGATAGCACATACTGAACTGAATCGGTAGCTAGGTGTTTTCCACTGTCACCATTTAGTAAATAGGCGCGTACTACCGAAATGCTGTGATCTTTAGATTTCCTTTAGACGGTGGATAGCAAAGTTAGCTGTCACTGCGTACTGTACTTGTCCATTTTCGCTTGCCGAGCTTACTCAAATTTGCTTGTTCGCGATGACAAAAGCTATGTTATGCTTCGACTCACGCTTTTTTTAATCATCAGCCAACTTTGTGTAATTGATGGCTCTATTTTCGTTGCGTTTCTTCCAGGCTACTGCTTTCTCCTGTTCCAAGATGAACGATCA